TAATAAAAGTTCCTCCCCAAGCCCTAAAATGCAAGAACATGACTTCCTTCTTCCTCCCTTTCTTTTCTCACTATTTCCTTCCTTCTTTTTCTTCTTCTTCCTTGTAGCCGTTTCTCTCCACTGAACTTCTCACGAGATTTGCTCCAAAAGAAATCAGTGAATAAAACATATGAAACATGAGGAGTCGCTAATATTCACTCCTGAATGCGATTATTCAGTTAGAACGGCGAGAAAATTTCGTCCAATAGTGATTTATTTGATCTTAATTGGAAAGAAAAACCAAAGGCCCTCCGGATTAGTGCTTTCAAAATCATTATAATCCCTGAGTACTTCAATTTCAGTTGATTAATCTAATTAACCACAGACTCATCTTAAATTTTTATAAATAGTTAGATTAACTCTAGTCAGATAGCCCTTTAATACTTCGGCTTCGTTTCAGCCAATTTTTTTATTGCTTTCAAAAGCAACTTTTTAGTACAAAAATTTTTAATTCAAAAAAATTTGAAACTAAAAAACAAAAAGAAAACTGTCCCAAACAAAATGCCAGAGATGTTACAAATATATTGAACAATATCAATTGAGATATGCTTCCATTGAAATTAAGGCCTCGTTTGGGACAACTTCCTTACTGCTTCTTAAAACAACTTTTTAATTAAAAATTTAAGTTTTTGTATTAAAAAATTGCTTTAAGAACCAATAAGAAAACCTTCTCCAACGAAACCTAACTGTTAGAATAATGTAGCAGAGTTTGAATCAAAGATTTCCTTTACTACAATAAATTTCTATTCTCACTTAATTTCAACTTATATAGCATTGTTCCTGTTATAAACCATCTTGGGTTGATTTCATGACAAAAATTTACGGTCTTAATCAGATCGAAGTTTCGATCCATACTCACCAGCTATGAAGTTCAATTCAGAAGAATTTTACAGCCCGAAACTACTTATGAACTACATGTTTTCAGATGAAGTAAAGAGAAATGGGTTTACTTAAAAGCTTTTCCTCTCTACATCAACAAGTACAATGCATGAGATAAGAGAAGAACCTACTCCACTCAAACTGAAATCTCATCATGGACATCTAATCAAATATGCCCATGTGGATACCTTCTCATCTTAAAAGAAAATCTAGAAAAGAAGAGACTCCTATCTTTCTATGAAATCATAACCACATACTATATCACAGATTTGACAACTAAAACTATCAAAATCTTACAACATACATCAAATCTTCTTCATGATTTATTGGTGGTTCTCTCAATCGACTTCGCCTTGTCGAGGATCGACCACATTACCTGCACATCCTCATAGCCACATGCCATGACTTCACAGTGGAGTGTCATACTATCATGATCATGACCTGCAAATAATTACATATTTTCTTTTTGTTCAGCAATAGAATATATACAACATTGTCTATGGGATAGAATTTGAAAATTGTTATGAGAGTTTTTCTACAAGAGATGTTCTTGGAGCAAGTCTGTATTGACTTAGTTCTACTAATGCACATATCTCTATGGTAGAAAATTCATTTGTCATTTTGATTTTTGTCATCACAGACCAGTCTTATACCATCATTTCAGATGAAAGTTACATTGAAATTCTATAAGAAGGCTTCATTTAGGACGTCTTTCTTATTGCTTCTGAAAGCAATTTTTTAGTATACAAATTAAATTTTTGTACTAAAAAGCTGCTTTAAGAAGCAATAAGAAAACCGTCCCAAACGAAGCCGAAATTTGTTCCCAGAAATGGGTAAATGAAATGAGAAGAGCATAAGAGGGAGAGAAGAAAAAGGGTAACAAACCAGTTTGAGGCTTCTTCTCTCTGGTAGGCTTGAGGATGGTGCATGCTTTCCTGAAAGGAGAAGTAATAGTCCGAACCCAAGAATCAGTTTTCATCAATGAAGTCTAATTAAGTAGGACTTCTCTGAAGGATGGCTAACTATAGATAAGCTGCCCTGCTTGTGAGGTTGAGCTGAAACTGTCCTCTGCTTTGATCTATATATATAATAAGAGAGAGAGAGAGAGAGATGAGTGGATCATCAATTACGCATCGACAACCAACAAGCAAATGATCATCAACAGTCACTACAAATCGTCATCAATTCGAGCTTCTAAAGACCTATTCCAGGGCCCGACAACGCCCCGAAGCCCTCGGCCATCGATCCGCTCCGGTCGGGCGGACTTGAAAGGGCAAATGCCCTCCTTACCTCCCGGCATCGGGGAGGGGACTCCGGAAGGCTGTCAAAATTTCCTCAAATTTTCGGGACTTAGTCAAAATTTTGACAAGCAACCGACATTAAATTATTTGAAACCAATCATCGTCAAGTGGAGCTTCTGAAGACCAAATCTCCCCGCCGTTGATTCACTCCGGTCGATTCGAGCCACTCCTTACCTCCCGGCGCCAGGGAGGGGACGCCGGAAGGCTGCCAAAATTTTCTCAAAAATTCTAGACTTGAGCAGATTTTTTTATTGGAAAATTTAGATTGCTCAATTAATTAACTGATAAATTAATTGATTGTTTAAAAAAAAAATCTTTGAAGTCATACTATAATTCAATTAATGGATAACCAATTATTGTCTTTCAATAAGGCTCTCATAGCTGGAAAATACATCCTTTAAAAAAAAAATTTGATGTTATAGAAATCCACAATAAAGGGAATAGTATGAAATATAGCATTATATACAAGCTTTACTTCAAGACAAATGCAAACACGGGATAGTTACCTTTGATGGATAATGATTAAAATCAAAACATTAACAAACATTAAAACTCTAATCAGTCAAAATGGACAGATCAAATGAATTTTTTTTTATAAAAAAAAGGGGAGACATATATATTGAGCAAATCTATTAAAATTCCTAAAATATCCAATTGGCTACTTTCAATGAAAGCCGTAAGTCCAATCTTTAGGGGCAATATCTAGGAAGTAACTTTATCCTAGACCCCTCATTTGGCATCTTAGTTTATTGGACTAAGTTGCAAGACCCGCCACTTAGGCTACTTCTAAGCGAAACAGTAAGACCCACTTGTTAGGGAACTTCTAAATGAACGACCCTAAAACCAAAACTCAAATCCCTTAATTGGGCATCTTAGTCTATAAAACTAAGTTGTAAGACCCGTCATTTGGGCTACTTCTAAGTGAAGCAGTAAAACCCGTGTATTAAAGAACTTCTAAGTGAACGTCCCTAAATCTAAAATTCAAATCCCTTTGGGCATCTTAGTCTATAGGGCTAGTTGTAAGACCCGTTATTTGGGCTACTTCTAAGTGAAGCAGTAAGACCCGTGTGTTAGGGAAGTTCTAAACGAACGACCTTATAACCCAAAACTCAAATTCCTTTGGGCCATATAGTTTATAGGGCTAGGTCGTAAGATCCATCACTAGGCAACTTCTAAGGAAGCCATAAGACCTACACAACCAAAAATTCTTCGGGACACCTTTAAAAGATGCCATAAGTCCCACTACTAGGGCAATTTCTAAAGAAGTCATAAGCCCCTACCCAAATCTAATAATGCCGGCAACTCCTAATTGGAGCCGTAAGCCCCAAACTAAATAAATCACACGGGCAACTCCTAATTGGAGCCGTAAGCCCCAAACTAAACAAATTAACGCGCAACTCCTAATTGGAGCCATAAGCCTCAAACTAAACAAATTAACGGGTAACTCCTAATTGGAGCCGTAAGCCCCAAATTAAACAAACTAATGGGCAACTTCTAAGGAAGTCATAATCTCCAACCCAAACTAACTAAATTAAAATTCACACATGTCCACTTCAGTCTACTCGGGATCCCTGAGAGGAGGCAACCCATGGCTGCTAATCAGATTCCCTGGACACTACAATCAATGATTGTTAGTTTTGGTAGACTGAATCCATAATATACCCGGGATGACGGAACCATGGGATCTTGATCGGGTGTATCTTCATCCCCCCATAACTAAATTTAAATATCTATTGCACATTCTCACACTTCTTGTATGAAGCTAAGTGTATTTCATCCTTAATCGAGAGTGCTCTTCTAATGCGTTAGAAGGGGTAATTAACTATGAGGGCTTGCACTCATAGGAAGTAGAACCCAGATCTAAATAAACCCTGATATTACTAACAGGGGGAAATCTGGTTAAATATTAAACTCAATCTACCTTTGGAAAAATTAAAGGGAACTCTTAAGTTCGTGAAAGCGGGTTCACATCTTTTTAATTTAAGATGATTTTTCTGGAGCTATCAAACGGGTAAGATTCAGGTCCTGCCTTTCGACCCGTTTTGAATTCTTGGTCAAGTTCGGGTCAATCCAGAAATCCAATTTTGACCCGCGTCTCACACACAAACGATTATTTATTTTTCTTTCACGCGTTTTCCGCTTTCCTGTTCCACTAATCTAATCATCTCCCGCACACGACCGCACCACCTGACGCGTAATCACCTCTTTTCTCTTCTTTAAACCACGTCGCTCATTGCTTCTTTCTTCTCAAAGAGGTAGTTTCGGGTTGGATTCGAACCCGACCCGTGACCCGATTTTGAAAACCCTGCTGATGAAGACAAAGTGAATTTTATAATGATACTTTTATGATAAAATTAATATTTTTATTAAAAAATGATAATAATTTAGTCTTCATAAAATTTTTATCACGCACATTTTATATGTTATAGATACTAAGATTATGCACATTTTGAAAATTTTATAAAATTTTCCTTGATGATTTTATATTTTGTGGTGTTTGTTAAATAAAAAATAATTCATACTATGAAAAATAGTGTCGAAAAAGCAATTTTGAGCCAATTCTAAAAATTTTTGCAATCGGGCTAGTTAGAAAAGTTATCCAGATCTAGACAGGTCACATTTTGTCAATCTTATTTTCAAAAATATGATTTTTTTTTAATTCTTGATTGAACATATTTCTATTAGCAAAAAATGCAAATACCTTTACACCAATAAATTTTCACCAAGTAAATTTTTAATGTTATAGAGATTAAGATTATGAATATTTTGAATATTTTTGAATATTAGGTATTTTGGAAATTATGTAGTTTTTATAAAATAAAACATAACCCATACATTAAAAATAGTGTTGTAGCACAATAAATGTCTTAAAATAAAGTTTTAAACAATCCTCAATAAGTTAGTTATAGTTTAAAATTGTGAAATTGTGTTTAGTAGAAATTATGTTGCCTATTATTATAGAAGCATGTGTAATTATGACATGTATTAAATTATGCTTTAATTGTTATAATATGATGAAATATATGATTATATAATTAAAAAATATATGTTGGGAGACATAAGGGTGGCGAAAGAATCTTTTGAAATTTTGCCAGTATTAAGGAATATTGTAGTGCCTATAAGGCATGCTCTTGTGGCTGTAAAGTTATATTTTGGTGGCTATAAGTCATGTTCTAGTATCTATAGGCATGTTCTGATGATATAAGCATAAAAGGGAGTCATAAGGAGTTATAATTCTTTAAGATTCTATTTGAGACTGGGATATGTGATATGATCTGATTTTTTATATGAACCGTTATATAATATTTTATCTAGTATTATTATTCAAATATTTTGATAACTGCTATGTTCTTATTACCTTTCTTAGTATTATAATTTGTTAGATCATTTTTAAATATTCAGTAAAAATATTTAATAAAGTTTTTTTTTTAAATTTAGATCAATTTGTGTGGCATGCTAAGCCGTTGTAGCTTACTGTAATTTTACTTCTAATTTTTAGGATCTTGGAAAGGGAAGGAGCTAGTTGATCAGTAGTTCAGGATCATATCTAAATTTATAGATATTTTTCTATTTTAATTTTTTGTACAATCATGACTAGTTTATTATTCAACTCTTTAGTTTCTGTTTAATAGTTATGTACTGTATCATAGATATATTTTAATAAAATGAAAGAAATATTGTGAATGAGTTTAGTTATTATACTCTGAATATTTTATTAGCCTTGTAGTATGTAGTTTATTTAAAACAAAATTTGAAAAAGAATATACAATATTTTAAAATTAGATATTGGGTTTTTCCTATCACAACTCAACATGATAGGACTTATCTTGGTTGGATTAGGTTGTGATAAGCTTTTTTGATATCGAGGCAATAGTTTTGAAATTAAATCGTAAGGAAGAGCTATATAAATTGATCTATAAGTCTAGTGGGATAGTTTTGAATCTGTTTGAGTGTTCATTATTATTTATTTTTTTGTACATGCATGTTAATTATATATTCTGTGTGAGTATAAATATGATAGACCTAAAATGATAGACACAGTGCTAGTCACGTAACTCATGTACATAGTATGGCTCTGATAGTTGGTTCTGATACAGTTTCAAAAGTTGCTACTTTGAAAGCATAAATGATGGTTGAGGCATAAAACATGGATTTTATTATGAGATCCAATGAGATAGACAGATATATGTAAATATTTCTGATATTGAAGCCTTTAAGGTTTGAGGGTATTATTGAGCCTACCGCAATTAGGGACTTGTTTTGGATGCATGAGAAGACATTTGACAGTATGCAATGTTCTCCTAAGAGCAAGATATTATTAATAGTATTTTATTAGATGGGGTAGTAGCAGAGCTCTGGTGGATGGGCCAGCAGGAGAAAATATTTCAGAGGAGATTGAATTTTTTTATTAGTTGGGAGGAGTTTTCATGTCTATTTAGAGCCTGATTTGTACCACCTTCTGCATGATAGTAGATGTAGGAGTCTTTTCTGAGATTGGTTCAAGGGAGCAAACAGTTATGTAGTATGAGGTATAGTTCATTGCTTAGCTAGATATGATCCACATTTGATAAGTATTCATATAAAGAAGTGTTTTTTTAAAAGACTTTGAGATAGTTTGAGATAGACACAAATACCATGTCATATTTCTAAGTGCTCATCTGATAGAAAATGATATGATGGCTAGCAGTGGTGGACTGCTAATAGGAAGAGGTTTAGTGGTAAGATGTTTGGCAGTGGATTTTTTTTTTTTTTTAAGGAAGAGCATATTTGTACCTAG